ACCTTGGGCTGTTCCTTAACCCCACTGGTTTTAACTCTCCACATGAGAAATCAGGACAGCAGAGCCTACCTTCGGACACTTCCACCAAGAGCGAAGGAAACAAGGCCCAGAGCTCTGAGAGCAGCAGGCCAATGGCACTGGGTCACTGGCTGGCTCTCTATCCTCCTTTCCTCGGGGGGGCGGGGGGGAATGGAGCCTTTCTGCTGACTAATGCAGTAACAAAAAAGAAAAAAAACACCTGTGGGAGAAAGGTGAATTCTGACATCTTCAAGTATTTATAGCACTAAATATTTGAGGCACCCCACACAAAAGTGAACACAGATATACACACACCCCAAGATGATTCAACCTACATTTTACCTACGTCTGGATGAAGGCACCACTGTATAGCTGGACCCTGAGTCTGCACACTCACAGCTGTGGATGTGAGTCACCAAATCCCATGGCGCACAGCCAGCTGAAGGTTACTAGGGCACCCAAACATGTTTGGGGTCTCTGATACCGCCCCCAATGAAGACCTGACACAGCTGGATGCAGGAAAACTGCATCCTCACTCATCAATACTTAGCAAATGCAGCTCAGAACCTTCCAGGGGATTATCAGAGAGTGTGGAAAACAGGTACCGGAAGCTCAAGGTCATTAGGGACACGAGAAAAGCAACAAGCCACCCATGGAGCCATTTGCAACAGTATGCCAAGGGGCACCTCCTCTGCAGCTCACCGCCAGCTCTGAGGACTGGCCAGAAGTGGCCTCTTCTAAGACATCCTCCGAGCTCTGCACTGACCTTGAAGGACAGTCATGTGTAAGGCTGGCCTAGAATTTCCCAAGGCCAGAATGGCACAGTTGTGCTGGGGGGAGGAGGAAGTAGAGGAGGTGGCTCCAACACAGACATTAACCCTTAACCCGCTGGGAAAGGGGAGGGCCTCAGAGGAGTCAGCACTCTTCATCCTGGCAGCCACCAAGTGTAAAGGCTGGACGGGAACCCGGATGAGATCTTCCTTGAGCCTGTGTCACTACACTCTACATCTTCCAGGACAGGAAGGAAGGACATTTAAGCAGCAGCCCCAGCAGCTCATGACACACTGCACAGGCAAGTAGGAAAGTACAACTTCAAAAATGTTTAAGTTTAGTCCGTTTAAGAGACATACTAGCCTCTATTTACTATCAGTACGCAAGCACCTCAATTACATGGCTGGACTCCTGGCCGATTCCAGTCTCATCAGAAGCCTAGGCTTTTGGCCACCGTGGGATGATTCATCCTCCATCCCTGTGTACTGGAGTCTGGCAAAGCCTTCCCCACCAGCTGTTACCTAGCAACCAACCTAGCAACCTTGCAGCCAAGAGATTAATTCTCCACTGATAATCATAAAGTAACATCCAAAAAGACACTTGGTTTCAAGGATGCCATCCAAAGGTATAGAGATGTGATACACCTTCACAAAGCAAATTAGACAAAGGGGCCACTTACCTGCTCTTCACCCTCTAAAAGGCAGGGCCTCATTCCCTGGATGCACACACACAGAGGAAAAGAACTAAGTTGGCTGCCCCTATCAGAGCAAGGAAGGGATGCTGTCCCCACCACAGCTGTGACTGATCCCTGGAAGGCGGGAGGAGTTCATAGGGTCGGAGCAGGTGGATCCCGGATTCCAAATGTTCTGTTGCTCCCCTCATTCCTGCTGTTCAGAAAGAGGTACCCAGCCAGCTGGGGCTATGTGTGTGTGTGTGTGTGTGTGTGTGTGTGTGTGTGCATGTACACATAAGTACATTCAGGGATACCCGAAATATCACTGGGCCATAAGGGCCAGGAGAACTTTCCAGCCTTCCTCTGCTGCTGCACAAGAACATACCCCATTCAGATGGGCACAGAACCCCAGGTGGCACTGAACCAAACAGAAAGCAGGCTAAGCTAAATGCATCAAAGTGCCCTGAAATTCAGGCCACCCAGCTTGAGGTCCAGCCCTCAGCACCCCAGAAGGCAGCCCACCTCAGCACACCTGTGGCAGTAAGTACCTAGAGCCGGACTGCCTGGCCTCCACCCTGCCTCTGCCACTCCCTGACAAGGGCATGGGGCTACCATCTGTCTGACCCCACGGGAACTTTCTGGTGTTCCATGTAGAGGATGCATAGCCATTCCTGGCCCAGAAAGAAGGTGGATCAGGAGAGATGCCTGTTGTTAAGAAACCCACGGGGACACCCTGGAAATCTGGCCAAGCCCCCCCTCTACAGGAGTCCACCAGTGTGATGGATGAGTCATCCATTTACTTAGCCGGCTCTTACTATGCATGCAGAGCACCAGAGATGGCATCGAGGACTCCAACAGTGCTGGCACAAGCGGCTTGTGAGTAAGCTCTGTCTGCACACACAGGCCCTGCATGTTCATTCTAGCCAACGTTCATGTCTCAGGGGACTGCTATCGTCTGGTTTCCTTCTGAAGGTCACGAGCTGGGTTAAGAGGCCTTTGCTTCAAAAGACCACTCCTCAGGACCTAGTCTTGCAATCCATACCCACAGAGGGGCATGGGCTGGCCCCATGGGCTGGAGTCGGGGGGTTGGGTTGCAGGCCCTGAAGCTGTGGAGGAAAAGGATGTTTACAAAGGTTGTTCTCCAGCAAGGCTGCTAGAGAGCAGGGTGGAGACCTGGGCTCTGCGGGTACAAGGCAGTAATCAACAGGAGAAAGGGGTGCCGAGAAACCGTCTACCAGGCCAATGGGGCATCTGTGGCTTCTGGTACCACAGCCATGAGCAGGCTTCCTGGGATCATGCTCTCTGCCTCAGTTTCCCCTTGACTATAAAATGGATATAATGATGGTGCCGATCCCCCTGAAGCCTTTATGGAGTCGGCGAGATGGAAAGGTTTGAGGAGCACTGCCTCCTGGCAGAGTGCAGCAGGACTGGGGTGAGCTCGTCTCTGAGATCGTCAGTGAAGGAGAGGGGAAGGGACAAGTTCTGCCCAGGGCTGGGGTCAGCCATGGGAGATCATAATGAGAGGGTCTCACTGTGGAAACAGAGACATGGCTCCCAGCTACCCTGTCACTACGTGAAACTCAACAGCCCCATCTGTAAAAGGACGAATGACATCCTATGGGAGGAAGGTGACTCATAAAAAAGGCCCAGAAGCTAGGCCTAGAGATACACTGGCAGCCATGTGCATGATGCCAGGGCAATAGCTCAGTGAGGGCAGTCCTCTGTAAGTCCCCACTGCATCCACCATCTTCTCAGACACCTGGGAGGTGGCAGGGGAGGTGAGGCAGGCCTCCTGCCACCAGCAGCTCGTCCACTGGGATGCACACACTGTCTGAGGTCTCCTCAGGTCTTCTGAGCCCTAAAGTTCTGGGCAACAGGAACCAGGTAACTGCACAGAGGCCCAACCATGGCTGCCAAGAGCCTTGGGGCCAAATGTGCGTCACCCATGCCTCAGGCAAGGGACCTAGGGACCTGACTCAGGTGAGCATGTGGGAAAAACACAAACCAAGGACACCAGAGGGGACAGAGCCTGGCACACAGGGACACTCAACCCCATGAAGGAGTGACTATTCCCATGCACAATACTTGCTGGCCAAAGTGGCATCAATGGGGACAGAAGTCCAATCAGGGAAACCAAGATACACTCAGACAAGATGGCTTCCAGAAGGCAACCTTGGCCTTGAGGTCTGATCCCAAATACCCATGGGGCAGATGGGCACGTGGCAACAGAGGAGGACCATGCTGGTCCCAGACTGGAACAGAGGTGCCGACCTCAGGGCAATCCATCCTGATCCTAGCCGTGAGCCACCAAACACGTTAGTGCCACCCCCAGAGCCATAGGAAGAACATCTCAGCTCACCCATGCCCCTCCACACCCAGAGATACACACAGAGACCTCTGCACCTCAGCTCTGGAAAACAGTACCTGCTGATGGACTAGGAGGGAGGCTAGAAGGAGCTGCTGAGCTAGCACAGGTGAACGCCACAGGGACACATAGACCCACTATACCAGGTGGGCCACACAGCAGTACTGGGAAGAAGGGGGATTTGTATTTAACAGTCCATGAGGACACTTGCTCCTCTGGCTTCCCTTGCATCTACAGACCAGGGTTACGCCCTTGGCCTGTCTACTTTAATTGCCAAGATCACCCAAGAGCTAAACAGGAGACAATACACGTACTCTGTAACCAGGGGGCGAGATGCACACCCATGTATACCCTGTATACCCATGAACAAATCGCTCACACACCCAAGTGGGGGGTGAGCAGCCAGCAGTCAGGGCCACTGCTCAAAGCCTGGGGATTCACGAATGCCTTCCAATCTGGGTACAGTCAGCTACCATCTTACCTTCTTATAAATGTTTCCCAGAGAGTGAGGTTCCGGGAATGTCAACATCCCAACTTGTTCCTCAATAGATACCACCCACCCACACTGTGGAGAGGGCTCCCACCCCGGCTGGCTGGAACCCACTCCTTTCAGCAGCCATCCCCCATGGTAGCCAGAGGTGAAGGATGGAGGTCAAGCACACAGGCTCTGCAGCCGGGTAGTCTCTGGGTCATGATTCTGCCAGAGAGCTGGGCCCATTATGCCTGAAGGCTCCCTCCGCACCCCCAATAAGATGGGCAGCAGGGTAGCAGCCAGTTCACATGGTAGCCGGTTAGAGGGGCTTACACAGCTTACACAGACCCTGCCTAGACAGTACTCATGCCTCATACTGTCTGCTTTCTTCCTGAAACTGTGAAGCAAATATTTTAATGTTTGGCAAATATCTGTGTTTATTACCTTTGCCTCAAAGAAAGTTCATGGGTGGGTTTTCCTTGTTACAAAAGTAAATGATACATGATTATTTTGGACAATGAAGCCAAGTAAGAGGAAAACCTAAAAAGCTAATGTCCGATTGGAGAGTCAGAAGCTGTCAGGTCTGCACAGCCCAGATAAAGGTGTCATCCTGTTCCCATCCCTCTGCAGGGCCTCTCTGCCTGGGGCCTGGCAGATGCCTCCTGGGGGCATAGGCAGCAGCTCAGCCCAGGTTCACTCACCTTGAACCTCTCGGTGACACCCTCAGTGATGCTGACCGTGAACTCAGCTATCTTGGGAGGACGCGCTTTTCCTTTCTTGCGATCGGGTTCATATTCAGTCTTAGTTTTCACGACAACCTTAGCCAGAAAACAGAGAGGCGAGTGGTCAGTGGTAAGGCAGAGTACTCAGACACAACAGTGGGCCTGGGGCTGTCAAGTTCAAAGTCACCATTCCTCTGGGCAGTGACTCACAAACAGCTTGAGAACGGCCTCCGCTTCCAGGAAAGCTCGTCTATGTGGGCACATTCAAAGAAATGGCCTGTTCATAGTCCCATAGCAGTCCCAGGGGAAAAGATAACTGAGGGGCCAAGAAGTTAAACTCACTGGCCGAGGCCACAAGGCTACATGTTGGGACGGGGCAGCACTGCCCTCTGTTTGGCCTACTCATGACAGCAGAGCCCTGGGACCTGGGGGGATGCTTCTGTTTCCCCACTGGCTTTTCTGTGCCACACACCTACAGAACTGAAGAAGACCTGAGCTCAACTGTCTGGTGCCCTCAGGAATGGGGCCTAAGAAGAAACAGATTTAGGGAGCCTCTTTGACTGCACCCACCACTGCTGCCTCCGCTGGCCTGCACAGCACTGAAGGCTCTCCCTTCCTTCCCCGCCACTCTCCTGTGAACCTGGAAACCCACCCTGTCTCTGTCCTATACAAATTCTTCCCTCTAGCCCTGCCACCTTCAAACTGGCCTGGGAGCCTGTGCTGTCTCCTGAGGGGACATTCCCATCTCGGCCTCCCTAGCCTTGCCTCTGTCATGGATCCATTGCTTCTCTGACCCAATGGACACAGAGAGTGAGGTTAAGGGGTTACCCATCTCTAACTCCCAAACTCACTCCCCAGACCAGGTGCCCAACAGTGGCGATGGGACAGGGGACAACCACCCCATACACATCTCCCAGGACTATGTCCTTCTCTGGTGATCTGTAGCTTGAGTGAAACACCCACCTTCCGTGACAGTGGGCCAAAGGGTAGAAGAAAAATAACCAAGCAACTCAGGATGGGTGGCCCCAGGCAGGTGTTTGGAGGTGCTCTCAGTCCCAGCTATGACCTATGGAACTGGCCTCAAACCCCAGCTGTACCTGTGAGCCTTGTGACCTTGGACACACATCTGGAGACAGTTCACCAGACCAAGAACAAAGAAGGCCTAACTCACCCATGCCTGGGGACATAAAGCCTATGTTATCTGGAACTGGAGATACCTGTGGCCCCAGAGCCCAGCCCACCAGAATTCAATCTGCATCTGCCACTAACTGGCAGGTGACCTTGGGCAAGTCTGTTAAACTGTGTCTTCATTTCTACATCTGTCAAATGGGGGCAGTGGTGGACGCTACCTCAGCAACATCAGCACATTAAAGTCCAGCCTGTGAAGCACACAGAACAGTGCCTGGTGCAATCCCCGCACCTAAAGGTGGGTGCACCACCCACCTGAACCTTGCTCACCCTGAAAAGGGTCAAGTGGGAGAGGTGTCAGGCTTAAGCATAGTGGAATAGGGCAACCAGAAACTTCTGTAGCCTGGAGGCCTATGACCTTCAGCATAGTGACCTTGGGTGCATCCTGTGAACTCTGTCTCCTATCTGGAGCAGCCCGGCCAGCTTTGGTTTGAAAACTCCCAGAGAGGAGAGGCTCCAGACTTTCAGAGCCAAGTAAGTGTCTTCTGAGCAAAATGACTGGCTGGCCAGGACTAGGCCTACCTAAAGCCTCCCTGAGGCCAACTGTGCCAAGTGATTCTGAACCAGAACAGATTGAGGGCCAAAAGGATGGTGGGGCCCAGCAGAGGGAATCACCTGATAGAGGTGCTGCCTGGGGACAAGGAGTTCCTGGCACAGGCCCCAGCACTCCTCCTTGAGCAGCTGGGGGTGTCAAGGCAGGAGGGGTAGGGAGACCTCAGGGCCAAGCTCTGATAACTGGGCATGACTGACACCTACAGAGGGAGAGGTAGGGAGGGAGCCAAAGGCTCAGGCAGCCCTGCTCCTCCTGTGAAGCCCAGCCTGCACCAATAGAGGCCCCATCGTGGCCTGGGGTGCACAGGTATAACCAGCTGGTCTCCCTTTCCCAAACTAGCCTTCAGGTGGCCAGTCCCCACCTTGATCTCCACTCAGAACACAGACAACAGAGTTAGGGGGACAAAACCACTTTGGGGAGCTAAGCTTGGGAGTAAGAGAAACCTCTACCTGGAGGACCCACCACGGGACGGCTAACTGGGTTCTACCCCTGCCACCCAGGGACCCAGACCAAATGAGACAGTGAACCGGAAAAGGATGTCAGGGAGCCAGCAAGCTCCTTTGTGTGTAACAGAATTGGTGGAAATGGATGCTGGCTGTGTGGTTTTTAGAATGGAGTGTTGTGATACAATTGTCTAAAGATGGAATTCTTTAAATGTTAACTCTTCAAAATCTCTTTATTGGGCCAGTGGGACTCTACTGGATGTCCTACTCTAAGGCAAGAGGGGCTTCTTTGAATCCAGCAAAAATGCATCCGGGAAAGACAGGTGTGCGTTATTGTATCCATTAAGGAGCACGGTGAGCACAGGAACTTTGACAAAGGAACAAAGAAGGGGCCCCATTCCAGCGCACACACCCACCGCCAAGTGGGGTTGAAAGCTCGCAGCACCCAGAGGGTACAAGATCCGTCCCCCCACCCCAGACCCCCGCCCTCTGTACCACCAAGCAACGCTCCTCACAAGGTAACCCCCCCAAAATCAATAGGGGGCCTTCGGCTGGGGAGTCGGTCGCCGAGACGAAGGTGTCATCCAAGGCAGGTTCCTCCAGCAGCAGCGGGTGCCTGTGCCCGCCGCCTTCCTCCGCCCGCCCCCACCTCGCAGCGCCAGCGCTCCGCGCACGAGGCGTTTCTTTTGTTTCCTTCGCAGGCGAAGATTTCGGAGTGCACACCCGGCCGCGCGGGAATGCCTGGGGCTCATACCTTATCCGGGGGCGGGAACTGCAGATGGTTGACATCCAGGGGCGTCATCAGGGGGATGGTGTCGAAGCCATCCTCCAGCAGCGGCTGCTTGGTGCCCTTCTCCGTGAAATTGTTCCCCAACTTCACCATCTTCGCGAAAGACCCGAGGCTGCGGTCTGCGGAGGGAGGGCGCGGGGGTCAGGGCGGGAGGGCGCCGGGGTGCGGCGCGGGGAGGAGGAGGGCTCCGTAAGCCACCCGCTGTCCCCCGCGTTCGCGTGCCCGCCGGCGCTGGGA